GGAATTTTAATGGGGATTGCATTGAATCTGTAGATTGCTCTCGGCAAGATGGCCATTTTTATTATATTAATCCTGCCAATCTATGAGCATGGGAGATCTTTCCATCTTCTGAGATCTTCGATTTCTTTCTTTAGCTACTTGAAATTCTTGTCATGCAGTACTTTCATTTACTTGGTTAGATTCACACCAAGGTATTTTATATTACTTGTGACTATTGTGATGGGTGTCATTTTTCTAATTTTTTTTCTCAGTCTGTTTATCCTTTGAGTAGAGGAAGGATTTTTTTGAGTTAATTTTATTTCCAGCCACTTGCTAAAGTTGTTTACCAGGTTTAGGAGTTCTTTGGTAGACATTTTGGGTTCAGTTAAGTATACTATCATATCATCTGCAAATAGTGATATCTTTACTTCTTCCTTTCCAATTTGTATCCCTTTGACCTCCTTTTGTTGTCTAATTGCTCTGGCTAGGACTTCCAGTACTATATTGAGTAGATAGGGAGAGAGTGAGCAGCCTTGTCTAGTACCTGTTTTTAGTGGGATTGCTTCAGGTTTCTTTCCTTTTAGTTTGATGTTGACTACTGGTTTGCTGTATATTGCTTTTACCATGTTTAGGTGTGGGCCTTGAATTCCTGATATTTCTATTTTGTGGAATAGTTTAAAGAGAATCGGTATTAGGTCTTCTCGGAAGTTCTGATAATATTTTGGACTAAAACCATCTGGTCCTGGGCTTCTTTTGTTGGAGAGACTTTTAATGACTGCTGCTACTTCTTTAGAGTTTATGGGACTGTTTACATGGTTTATCTAATCGTGATTTAACTTTGGTACTTGGTATCTGTCTAGAAAATTGTTCATTTTATCCAGATTTTCCAGTTTTGTTGAGTATAGGCTTTTGTAGTAGGACTTGATGATTGTTTGAATTTCCTTGGTTTCTGTCGTTATGTCTTCTTTTCCAGTTCTGATTTTGTTAATTTGGATACTCTGTCTGTGCCCTCTGGTTAGCCTGGCTAAGGGTTTATCTAGTTGATTTTCTCAAAGAGCCAGCTCTGGATTTTGTTGATTCTTTGTATAGTTCCTTTTTTCTACTTGGTTCATTTCAGCCTTGTATTTGCTTATTTCCTGCAGACTACTCCTCTTGGGTGTATTTGCCTTTTTTTGTTCTTGAGCTTTCAGATGTGCTGTCAAGCTACTAGTCTATGTTCTTTCCAGTTTCTTTTTGTAGGCACTTAGAGCTATGAGTTTTCCTCTTAGCACTGATTTCATTGTGTCCCACAAGTTTTGGTATGATGTACCTTCATTTTCATTAAATTCTAAAAAGTCTTTAAGTTCTTTATTTCTTCCCTGTCCAAGTTATCAATGAGTAGAGTGTTGTTCAGTTTCTATGTGTATGTGGGCTTTCTATCATTTTTGTCTTTATTGAAGACCACTCTTAGTCCATGGTTGTCTGATAGGATGCATGGGATTATTTCAATTTTCTTGTATCTTTTGAGGCCTTTTTGGTGACCAGTTATAAGGTAAATTTTGGAGATGGTACCATGAGGTACTGAGAAGAAGGTATATCCTTTTGTTTTTGGATGAAATATTCTATAGATATCTGTTAAATCCATTTTGTTCATAACTTCTCTTAGTTTCACTGTGTCTCTGTTTATTTTCTGTTTCTATTATTTGTCCATTGCTGAAAATGGGGTGTTGAAATCTCTCACTATTATTGTGTGAGGTGCAATGTGTGCTTTGAGCTTTAGTAAAGTTTCTTTATGAATGTGGGTGTCCTTTTGTTTGGAGCATAGATGTTCAGAATTGAGAGCTCATCTTGATTGATTTTTTTTTAAATGAGTATGAAGTGTCCTTCCTTATCTTTGATAACTTTAGGCTCAAAGTCGATTTTTTTTCGATATTAGAATGACTACTCCAGCTTTTTTCTTGGGACCATTTTCTTGGGAAATTGTTTTCTAGCCTTTTACTCTGAGGTAGTGTCTGTATTTGTCACTGAGGTGCCTTTCCTGTATGTAGCAAAATGCTAGGTACTATTTACATATCCAGTCCATTAGTTTATGCTTTTTATTGGGGAATTGAGTCCATTGATGTTGAGATATTAAAGAAAAGTGATTGTTGCTTCCTGTTATTTTTGTTATTAGAGGTGGAATTATCTTTGTGTAGCTATCTTCTTTTGGGTTTGTTGGAAGAAGATTACTTTCTTGCTTTTTCTATGTTGTAATTTCTCTCCTTGTGTTGGAGTTTTCCATCTATTATCCTTTGTAGAGCTGGGTTTGTGGAAAGATATTGTATAAATTTGGTTTTGTCATGGAATATCTTGGTTTCTCCATCTATGGTGATTGAGCGTTTTGCTGGGTATAGTAGCCTGGGCTGGCATTTGTGTTCTCTTAGTGTCTGTATGACATCTACCCAGGATCTTCTGGCTTTTATAGTCTCTGGTGAGAAGTCTAGTGTAATTCTGATAGGTCTGTCTTTAGAAGTTACTTGACCTTTTCCCTTCCTGCTTTTAATATTCTTTCTTTGTTTTGTGCATTTGATGTTTTGATTATTATGTGACGGGAGGGATTTCTTTTCTGGTGTAGTTTATTTGGAGTTTTGTAGGCTTCTTGTATGTTCATAGGCATCTCTCTTTTTTTAGGTTAGGGAAGTTTTTGTCTATAATTTGTCAAAAATGTTTACTGTCCCTTTAAATTGGGAATCTTCACTCTCATCTATACCTATTATCCTTAAGCTTGGTCCTGGATTTCCTGGGTGTTTTGGGTTAAGAACTTTTTGCATTTTTCGTTTTCTTTGACAGTTGTGTCAGTATTTTCTATGGTATGATCTGCAACTGAAATTCTCTCTTCTTTCTCTTGTATTCTGTTGGTGATGCTTGCATCTATGACTCCTGATCTCTTTCTTAGGTTTTCTATCTCTAGGGGAGATTTGTGATTTCTTTATTGTTCCTACTTCCATTTTTATGTTCTGGATGGTTTTATTTAATTCCTTCACCTGTTTGCTTGTGTTTTCTTGTGATTCTTTAAGGGATTTTTGTTTTTCCTCTTGAAGTGCTTCTACTTGTTTACCTGTATTCTCCCGTATTTCTTTGAGGGAGTTATTCATGTCCTTCTTAATGTCCTCTATCATTATCATGAAATGTGATTTTAAATCTGAATCTTGCTTTTCTGGTGTGATGGGGTACTCAGTACTTGCTATGGTTGGAGAACTAGGATGCCAAGTATCCTCGGTTTCTGTTGCTTATGTTTTTGTGCTTGCCTTTTGCCATTTGGTTATCTCTAGTGCTACCTGCAATCACAGTCTCTAACTGGAGCCTGTCTTTCCTCTTACCTTGGTTGTGTCAGGACTCCTCAGAGTCCAACTGTCTCTGTGATCCTGTGATCCTGAGATCCTGGATGTAAGAGCTCCTGGGAGTCAGGCTGCCTTTGGGATCCTGAAATCCTGTTGTGACCAAGCTCCTGAGATCTTGTGATCCTGTGATCCTATGACTCTATGTTCCTGGGTGTGTTAGAGTTCCTGGGAGTCCAGCCTCCTTTGGGCTTTGTGGGATTCGGTACCGAGTTGGAGCATACTAGAAGGAATCTGTGTCACTGGCTGGGAGTGAGTCTTGGGTTCCAGCTCAGACCAGAAGGACATATATTTTCTTAATGTTTAGATTTTTAAAAAGTTGCTTGTATATTCTAGACGCTAATTCTGTCAGATGAATGTCTGGTAAAGATTTCACCCATTCTATGGCTGTCTCTTCCCTCATTTGACACCTTCATTTGCTGTATAGAAACTTTAGATTCATGAGTTTTCATTTGTCGATAACTGGTCTTATTTCCAGTACTATTAGAATCTAATGCATAAAGCCCCTGCCTATACGATGCTTTGGGTTTTCTACTTTTTTCCTGTAGTGGTTTCAGGGTATCAGTTCTTATGTTGAGGGCTTTGATCCATTGGAGTTGAATTTTGTACAGGGTGGGAAGATAAAGATCTAGTTTAACTTTTGAAGTCCAGTTTGACTAGAACCATTGTTGAAGGTGCTTTCTTTGTTGCAGTGTATTGTTTTGTCATCTTAAAGAATATCAGTCAAGTATAGTTTCATAGACTTAGATCTAGGGCCCCGATTCTCTTTTATTGAGCTCTGTAGAGCAGAGCAACCTCTGTTTTCTTTAGGCTGACAATTGGAACTAACATAAAGCTCAACTACAGAGGAAGGATTTAATTATCTTTTTTTTCTTTTTTTTAAAGAGGCCAGGCCTGAGAAAATATTATAGTGGAATGAAAGTGGGACCTTTCAATTGATTAAAATAGGCCAGAGTGAAGGAGAAAATGATGGTAGTTTAACTGCAGCAAGTAGAGAAGCAGAAAGGTAGAGGGAGAGGTTGCTCTTCTTGGCAGTATGTAGGAGGAGATAAAGATTGTGTGCAGGAAGAGTGTTGAGGGAAAATAACATGTCTTGACTATATGCATCTTTCATGGTTTGTTTCTACATTTACAGTATTAGAACTATGATTCACAATTGCCAAATATAATAAGAAGAAATTAAGTTAATAAATCATTTGTGAAGCAGTTATGCATAATTCATGTAATACTTACTTTTGATAGTAGTTGATGAATTGAACAATGCTATGTTTTATCGTTTTTATATGTAAAAGCTTTATTTCTAAACAGTTTTCAAATTATTTTCCTTGAGTTGAGGATTCAGTTAAGGTTGAATTGTGAAAGGGCATTTTATCTTTTCTGATATTGGTTACTTAATTGCTCTTATGGAAATTATTTTGTTTATATCTTAATATGTTATGATATTTGGCATGTTTTTATTTGAATTTAGTGAAATAAATGGGAAAATTTCCCTCCTAAATATAAAGTTGAAAATTTAGAATTGAGTCAAAGTGTAAATATTTTCTGACTTCCATTTCACTAATGAACTCTTAAAAGCTGCTCTTACTTAATAATGGAATTAATCATTCCTTTTTTTGTTTTGTCTTTCTGTCTTTTTAAACTTGCTTTCGTGGATATTCACACCAGGAGGACAAAGTGGTTAGAGTCTCTTTCTTTCTGCCTAATATACTTTTTCTTATTGTTATTGCCAATTTAATTTTACAGTTGCATTTAATTTTATCCTTCTAAGTATTTTGTTAATTATATTGCATGACAGTTTCTAAACAGTATAGCATATTTAAGCATGCTGATTTTACTGGAAAAAAAAAGCCTGGCATTGCATTGTATTATAGGTCAAAATATTAACTCTTTATAGATTCCTGAGTTTTTACAAGTTAATACTTTCATTATTGTGTCTTTGGTGGAAAACATTGCCACCTACTGATTTTGTACCCATCCAAATCTCCCATTCTCGAGACCCTTGGAAGACTGAGGCTGGTCCTCGGCAGTTATGACCTCACAGCATTGTCCATTATCATCAGTGCCTTTACATGGTTTCTAAATTCACTCTTAGATTGGTCAGGTTTTATAAAGTCTCCAACTCAATACCTAGAGTCAATGACTGTAACAACAAAGTAAAAGACCATTGAAATTGGGTTTACTAAAACAAGTCTGTTGTGTTTATCATAAATATTTAATAGATTTCTGTTTTATCTCAATAGTTTGGGGAGTTAGTAAAGTTTTTCCTAGTTTGATATCTGCCCAAGAATGTCTGATTTACATTTAGATCTGCTCTAGAGACTGGTGACTCTGCATATAAAGACTGCAATATTTCTATTCTGATAACTTTTAATGAGTCAAACTCAGCCTTGAGCCTTTTCAAATTTTTAAGTTTCAAATGGCACTCATTCAAATGAGTTAAAGTCTTCTAAGCAGTACATGTCTTAAACTGGAAGATTTGGCTTCCTTTCAAAGCCTTCAGCTACTCAGCTGGGGACAATGGATCTTGTGGCAAATATTGAGCATGGATTTCGAGTGAAATCTCAGAGTAGAAGAAAGAATAATATAATTATTTCCGTTTCTTTAAAAAATCCTGTAGTAATCCTAGCAACCTTAGAGGCTGTTTTGAAGATTAAAAGGCCAATTAATGCACAAACTGTGCATCATCTTTGTTTTTGGGTGATTCTTCAGAGAACCCATGAGCTTTCTACCGTCTGCTTCCTATCACAACATACCCACAGAGAGACAGCCTGTGGTTAATGACCTTCAGAGTCTCTATGGCAACTTTTGTGTTTGGAGTTAATATAGGATGCATAATGGTGTAACTACTATCTGCTTTTTCTTTTTATCATGGCTCCTCTCCTGGAAATTGGAAATGTAATGATAGAAACCTAGTTTTCATGTGAATACCAGACTTCATTCTCACTGTCCAAAATCAGCTTAAATAAACATGGCTTCTAGCGACAAGTCATTCTTTTACCATTCTGTAATTAGAATTATAGCTTATGATTTATTTTCCAACATTTAAAAAAATGTGCATAAAACGATCACCAGGTAACTTGTGCCAGTGGTGGCTCCTCGCTGTTTATTTCTCAGTTAGAAGAAGGCTTTTGTAAGAGTTAATGTTACCCATAAATATTTCAGTAATTTTGGAGTGGGAGTTGGGTTGCTAATGTCAGAGCTCATGCTCGTGCTTTAGAAGCCCCATCTTTTTAGGTGTCTACCTGAAGATTGGCCAAATTAGAATAAAATAGCTTTTTAAATTTCTTTTTAAAAAGTATCCCAAAGTTAAGATGTCTTGGGTCCACTATGAGTTTCCAGTTTCAGATGAGGCAGCATTTTCCTGGGATAACTAGCCAAGTCCTCCCCAGAATCCTCCCCAGGTAGCCAGCAGAAGGAATTGTCACTGAGTGGGATAACTTGTTGTTTTCAGTGAATGGCGTCCACTGTCAGTGGCTGCAAAAGCTGCCTCAGAAGTACCATTTACTTGGGTATTTAAGAGTTACTATATTAACAAAAAGTTACTGGATTGTCCTTTGAAATGCTTGTTTCAGAAAAATTGATAAACAAGAAACAGAGACATTAAATTTGGGATAAAATTGATTCCCCCCTCACTTTAAGTTCTGTTTGAAACATAATTAAACTTCTGTAAATGTTCTGATTTATTGTCTTAGATTGTGTTAACTTTGTCCTCTAATAGTCACTGTTTTAATGCAGGAAGAGAATGACTTAGCAGCCCATGCTGTATGTAAAGTTTAGAGCAGGCCCGCTCCTCAGCCGTGTTTATGAATTCATGTCATATGTATGTTATAGCGTTTTTGAAAGACATAAATTGTGGCATCAGTTGTCATGGTACTTCTGGATGACATGATGGAACTATGGAAGTTAATGTGAAGTGATGCTTCATATGCGCTTTGTAAACTCCACAAAGTTATTATTTTCACATTAAGCATGAAAAAAGATTTCAGGCTTATCAGTCTATAGTTAGTTAAGGGGTGGCTACTCGACAAAATGTATTAGTTTGTATGGATTTGGAACATGCAAGTAAAGCTACAGACCGTTTTGTGACTCTTGTACAGAGAAGGTTGTATTTACATGTAGCTGTTAACACTTGAGAAAGGTTTTACTGATATATTGATGAGTAAATTCAATTTTAATTAATTTAAAATTTAAAACCACATGAATCTAAATGTTAAAGCAACTAACCTTGATAGCAAATAGTATTTCTTCAGCCCCAGGGAATACACAAATTTCTATGCTCATATTAGCAGTGGACATAAAAGCTTTCCAGTTCCCTGAAATTATATGTATGTGTCAGTAATAGTGTCATATAAAGGCAAGGATGATAACGAACAGAGGTTTTCCTCCTTAGGGGTAGAATTAGGAATAGGAATGACAGTGGTGAAGGGGCTTCTTGGATGACTGAGTTGGGGTAGCTTGACAGGTTGAACAGGAAACGAAGTCACTCCTATAGCTTTGCTGTGTACTGTGGACAGTTGACACCACACATTTCTATTCCTCTGGTTTTGAATGTGGGTTGTTATTGAAGTCACCTTTTCCTTTGTTGCTTATTAAGTCTTTTAAGTATATAGGTCAGTGGCTCACAATGATTCACACACCCGACACTTGCTTTCAAAGATGTTGTTTTGGAGGGTTTTTCCCCCATTATTATGATTGAATCTAGACCACAATTTATTTGAAGTATTGATGATCAACACACTTTAGTACAATTGATTTGAATGTCTTTGCCTTTTTTAAAATTTTATTTCACTGTTAAGTTAGATAGGCGACAATTTATATCTAAAGCAAATTGTATTTGTCTTTCTGCTCTCCAATTAGAGAATAAAAATACAAAACTGGTTTTTAAAAGAGGTACATTTGTGTTATGTATGTCTATGTATTATATTTATCATGTTTCACAGAATGTGTAGAAAGTCATGCTTTGAGAATTCTTTCTCCACATTCTGAGAATCTACATCTCCTAATTTTATCCATTAAACCCTAATATTGAAAACAGCTCCATCCAGTGGCTGTTAGATGCAGAAGGGAGGGGTACACTTTTGTCCAGTTCTTCCAGGCTCACACAGACCTACCCCCATCCCCTCCCACACACACTATGCATTTGCCATTGTTTTATTCCATTACCTAACCTGTGCCTGGAGCTCTGGCACTGTTACTCAGTGAGTAGGAGACACTCTGAAGATACCCCCTTGTACCAGAGCCAACATGGATGGATTTTGCTGACAGGCTCTGTTGACTGAGGGCCATGCCAGTGGATCTAAAGCTTCTGTTCCTCTTGTGGCCACACTATGAATCCAGTGCAGGATACCACTGTTCAGTATTGGCATTAATGCAACCAAAGAAGAGATTATTGGGAAGTAATATCAAATTAGGAACAAATGAGAGTGCTAAAGCATGTATAATCCCAGCCCCCAAAAGGAAGAGGAGACAGCCCACAGTAGGGCTACCAGGGGATGCTCCTGGAATCAAGTGGTTCTGTGTGGAAACTGGGAAAGTCAGAATTGTTTTAGATGCTTGTTATGTGGAGTGGACCCTGTAGAGTTCTGTTTGAGGCTCTCCAGGGTTAGAAACTTGCCTGCTTTTTGTGAATCTTTAGTTGTTTATGGTAGTGTGTTGATTGACACAGGGGACCTGAGTTGGGGTGGAGCATGTTTTGGGATACAATGTCCAGGATAGTACTTCCAAAAACAAAAAAAATTGATCAGGCCAGGGAATGCCAGTAAAGGAGGGCGGTAGGTGAAGATAGTACAGTGGGAACTTAAAAGCAAGAGGTACCTCTCCACGAGGTGGGAGCAGGCTCGGAGCCTCCTCCCCTTCAGCTCTCAGGAATTTACTTCAAAAACAGGAATTCCCTTTGGCTACCGTAGATGATTTCTATTTTTTTGTCTGTTGGTTTAAAGGAAGTTATGCAATCTTTGAGTGTTCCAAGGGGGCATAAGGAATGATTTTTTTAGGTTGCTGGGACCCAGAGATTAATAATTCTTTATAGGAATAAGCAGTCTATCTTCCTGTCTCATGTTTACTATTTCTAACCTAGAGGCTCTGGGTCTTTTTTTTTAATTGTATATTTTATTTATTTACAATAAAGATGTCATCCCCTTTCCCCATTTCACCTCCCTAGAACCCCCTATCCTATACCCCTTCTTCCTTTATGCTTTTATACCATTTTGATTACATGTATGTATTAAGGTCAGATCTAGGTTGAGGGTCTAGCAATACAATAGATGCAAATAGTCAAGGAACAAGCAATACAATAAACACAAATAGTCAAAACAAAAACAAAAACAAAACCAAGGCATTAAACCCAGTTATGTGAACACTCCCATGATTACTGTTTCTAAGGACTTATCAGGATGACCAAAGTATCTGAGTCTACTTCCCTATCCTAGCCCAAGGTTATTTTCATGTTTGAAGCCTACTTGTTCTTGCCTAAAATTTAGATTCCTGTCTGAAATTACTTCTTTGTTTTGGCCTAATATTTAGATTCCTGCCTGAGATTACTTCTTTGTTGTAGCCTATGGTTTAGACTCCTACCTGAGATCACTTCTTTGTTCTAGCCTTATGTCAGAATCCTATCTGAAGTCTACTTCCTTGTCCTTGGCCAATGTCATATTCCTGCTAAGCAGCCCATTTCCTTG